AAATAATAATCATACTATCATAGTAATAATGAAAAAATAAAAATATTTTTCACAAATTTAAAATTTTTTAGCAATTAAAATATTTTTTTTCTATTATACGTTAAAATATATTAATAACTTTTGGAGTTATTTTTTTTAAATTACTATCAAAAATAATTTATAATGCTAGAAATGATTTTATTTAATATTAACGTTATTTAAGTAAAAATAAATAATTTTAATAACATGAACAAGCATTAGACAAAGTATTTAGTAAAATTGAGCATAAACAAGTTTTGGAAAGTATAGAAATGTTTTTTAAATTAATTAAGTGATCAATAAAAACATGAATTATTCCTTCATAGATTCTTCAGTTGGCTKTGTAGATGGTTTTGGCTGTCCATCATCTCCAATTTTCTTAGTTCCTGATACAATATCATCAATTCGCACTAATAATATAGCAGTCTCGAWCGCAGTTTTATATACTTGCRATTTAACTACAATTGGTTCCCATACCTTAAAATCCTTCATATTGGACATTTCTCCAGTTTCACCATTAATACCCCAATACTCATTACCTCTGATTGCATGCTTGGCTCTTAATGATGTCATTGTCCTTATAGTGCTAACTCCACAATTTTGCAAAAGAGTGCGTGGTATCACTTCTAATGCTTGTGCGATAGCTTTATATGGCCATTGTACAACACCTGCTATATTTGAACTTTTTTTCACCAACGCCTGTGATATAGCCATTTCAATAGAACCACCACCAGTAACCAATCTTGGGTTCAACATAATGTTTTTAGCCACATGCAAAGCATCTTGTAAATTCCTCTCAACTTCATTTAGTATATCTTTGCTTGGCCCCCTAAGTAAAATTGTACAGGCTTTTGGGTTGATACATTCAGTAATAAATGTGAAATATTCGTCACCAATTTTTTTAATTTCAAAACGACCAGCTCCAGTACCAACATGGATTTCACGAAGTTCATTTGTTCGTGTCACTATAGTAGCATTACAAGCTCTTGCAATACGATTGTTATCAGATTTTCTTAAACGTCTGAGTACGGATATATTCGCTTTCATTAAGTAATGTTGTGCCAAATCAGAAACTCCTTTCTCAGTACATACCAAGTCAGGTTTCATGGCAATAATATCATTGCACATTTGTTCTATATACTCTTCTTCAATYTGTAATAACCTAGTGAAATCAGTTTCTTTAACAATTTCCACCTCTGTTTGACTTTCACCTTTTTTGAACTCTAAAGAACAATCTAAAAGAATAATTCTAGGATTTTTGATTAATCTTCTCATCTTAGGATGCGTGATATCTTTGTTTAACATAATACCATTTAATAATTCAGAATCTTCAATTGCACCGCCAGGCACTTTCTCTACCTTAGCATACCTTTTTATATCAATTTCAGTAYGACCATTCTCTTTAATTTTTACTGTTTTAACTGCATTTAAAGCAATGCTGCAAGCTAAGTCTGACCAGGTGCCAATTAATTTAGTACCTATACATGATTGAATAACTTCAATCAGTTTATTTTCATCATCCATAGGTAAAGGAATACTAAATTCTTTATCTAAAATATTTAACATGTCTTCAAGAGCTTGGCGGTAAGCCTTAATGATAACAGTTGGATGAATTTTTTGTTCCAAAAATTGTTCAGCAACACCCAAAATTTCACCTGCAAGTACTACTACTGAAGTAGTACCATCACCAACTTCTTCATCCTGCGTACGAGCAATCTCAATAAAAGATTTGGCTGCTGGATGCTGGACAGTGATTTCTCTTAGGATAGCATTTCCATCATTTGTCATTACAATTCCACCCATTGGATCCATTAACATTTTAAGCATAGCTCTGGGTCCAATGCAAGTACGCACCACATCTGCAATTGCTTTGCCTGTAATTATAGTTAAATATTAATCAAAAATATGGTATATTATTTAAACTAATGATTTTCATAAGTCAAAATAATATGTTGAGCATAATTCACTATGACACCAATGATGGTTAATACAATAATTCTTACATTTAAAAATTATATTAAATTTAAAAAAAGAAAACTAATATTCTTAATAGTTGAAGAACTGATATAATAAATTTACATAGGTGTGTCTACAAAATTAATATATGTGTTAGATATAAAAAAAAAGAAGCGGGTTGCTGTTGCTCTGCTGTATAAGTGGGTTACTGTAATATTGATCGTATTAAATTTGAWTTCAATAATATTATATCATTGCATACAAAAAACGATTCTGAGCAAAGACGATTTGTCTAGGATATTTTATAGTTTTATACTATATTAATTATGTTTTTAATATTTCAAAAAAATAAAAATAAAATAWTGTAGGTTGTAGGTACCTATAAAGTAAATTCCAAATTAATTAATCAGATTCATTATGTATCCGAATCACTTGGTCATTCATAGTAGGTATAATATACAATTTATTAT